ATATGTATTCGTTTATATGGTTATGTATATATACACCATCACACACGCTATTTATATCACCGCCATCGTATACACAAATCTCTGTCATTATATCATCATCTTACACACATCGCGAGAAGCAGAGAGAGAGAGAGAGAGAGAGAGAGAGAGAGACGCAAAAGAGAGAGAGAGAGAGAGAGAGAGAGAGAGAGAGAGAGAGAGAGAGAGAGAGAGAGCAGAATAACACCTTCCACATCCCGACGTCGTTTTGTTTCGCAGTGGACCCCGTTTTTTCTCTTCCGTGGGTCCTTGCGGCAAATGTTCATGGTCCCAAGGCCCGTTGAGGGCCTTCCGATGGAACAAAACACATAGTATGTTTCCCGCGACGTCGGTGATGTGAGAGGGGGAAGAGCAGCAGCGCCCTGCGGCCGAGGGAAGAGGCCCTCCTGCGGCCCTCCTCCTCCTCCGCGACTTCTTCCCCAGGTCTCCGACGACGACGGGCGTTTTCTGGCCATGTTTCTTGGTGCCCTCGACGTCGTGGGCCTCCTTGGGGCCGTCAACGGGCCCTGGGACCGTCGCGCAACGATTCGCGATGAAAAGCTGGACCATCAGGAGGGGCCGCGTCGCGGTAAAACAAAAACGACGTCGGGATCTGGGGGGCAGGGGGGGGAAGGAAGAGGTGGACGAAGATAACGAGCTTTTGGGGGAAAGGGCCTTGCCTATCTAGGTTTCTTTACGCACCGTCCCCGTGCCCGTCTTCTCTGCCACCCCAGGCCTGTCATATGACAGACTGGTCTGTCATATGACAGGCCCCGTCTGTCACCCAGCCTGGCTGGGAATTACGTTTTCAGAGTTCGGCACTCGTCGAGCGGTGCTTCTCAATGACACGCACGTGCAACAGGGAAGGGTGCACCGTCTCAGCCAACTCAGAGCAGGCTCCAATCTCAGATTCGTCCATGTACTCCCAATGATCCTGCTGGAACCAGGTGGAGGATGGACACGGGCGGGGAGACAGGGGCAGGGGAGAGAGAGGAGGAGGGGGAGATGGTGATGGGGAGGGCGGCGAAGGAGAGGGAGAGAAAGAGAGAGAGAAAGAGAGAGAGAGAGAGAGAGAGAGAGAGAGAGAGAGAGAGAGAGAGAGAGAGAGAGAGAGAATGCGGGATAGGGAAAATGAGATGGAGAACGGGCCGAAGACACCCTTGCCCCCCTCGGTCCGTCGGGTTTCCTGGCGAGCACGCTTCGGCGAGCTCCAAAAACATATGGTGCTTCGGCTTGATCCCCCAAGCCTTGTCATCCAGGGCGTAGTGATCCCGCATCACCCTGTAATATTCTAAGTGCTTGCGTGCGAGATCTGCCACTCTAAACGGGCTCGCCGCAGGATCCCAATTCTTGCACTCGTCGTATGTTCTCGCGAGCAGCATCGCGCATCTCATCCTCGAGGCGGACGTGTCCCCCGTATCCACCCTCGTCCAGTCCCTCTCCCGCCTCCCTCCCGCCTCCGCTTACCCCCTCGCCGTCCGTGCTTGGGAACGGGGCGTAGTGCGCGGAAGGAGATTCGCCAGCATATATTCGATTATCGGGACCATGTACCTACCTTCGGCTGCTTTTGCTTTGAGTTTCGGTGCTTTGCCTGCTTTCGCCCGAATCATGCCGAGGGTGAGGTGCTGGATCGGACACGTCGTGCCCAAAGCTCGCGCAGCCAGATTCAAAAGAAGCTCCAGCTTCGCCAGCACCTGGGGTCCAGGGCTCCACCGCACAAGATGGCGGAACAAACGCCAGAGCAGGAATAAGGCGAGGATGATGGGAGGGGAAGGGCGTGGTCAGGAGGTGTGAAATGGGCGGGGCAGGGAGGGCGAGGCGAAGGGTGAAGAGGTGGTGGGCGGTGAATGGACGGAATGGGGAAGGGCTGCCCCTCTGCCGCGCACCTTTCCCCGCCAAGAGCAGGTGGGAGAAATTGTGGGCGGGGGGGGAGCTGGGGAGAGGGAACGGGGGTGTAGAAGGCGAGTGAAAGGGCGAAGGGAGAGGGAGAGTGAGAGGAAGGTGGAGAGCGAAGGATGGCGCCGAACCTATAAGCGTGCTTCAGCGTGTGCACCATCCATGACAACAGCCTTGCGGCTTCTCCGCCGCATCCCGCGTGCGTCGCTCACAGGGCTGATGCCGCGGCATGCGCCTGCGCTGAAACTCGTTCTGCACACAGCGGCGCCTCCAGCGGATTGGACCTGGCTCCGCCTAGTTCTTTAAACACCTCCCACAGCACGTTCCCATTGACCTCGGACGTGACGCCCAGACAGCCGACGTGCATTAACCCTGGGCGCAACATTTTCCACGAAAACCCTGGTAGTGCCAACGGTTCCAGGTCCATGTCCAAGGCGCCGTGTATCAATAGTTCGAGGTACGACTTAGCCGTGTAAATGGTGGAGCGCCATCGCGCATGTCTCCCGAACTCTCCCATCTGCTCGACCGTGCAAGCACACCGATAACATATTCTCGCCGTGGGAGGCCCCCCCCTCCACCCCGTCACATTGAAGACTTGTTTGTACCACGCCCAGTCCCCGCGAATATCTATGCACGCACCCCTAGGTATCCTCATGTCGTGAGCTGCCTTCGCAGCCCTATCCCGATCACCCCAGTACGGGGAGTCTGCGAATGGTAAATCGTCGTGCCGCTTTGACGGCCACTTCCCCGCCAGCCAATACGTGAACATCCACCCGAGAACGCGCCAAACCTCTCGGCGGGAGGCGGGCTGTCAACGCTGCCGCACGCTGGGACTTCCAGGTTCGCAAAACAAAAAATAGAACCTCTAAGCCGTCCCAGCGTTGGCAGGGGTGACCGCCGTATTCAAACGCGACCGCGGCAGTTCGTTGGCGCCGACGTTCGGCCGCCCCCCTATTGAGAGCGGAATGGCGAGGAGGGGGCGAGGACGAGGGGAGGAGCGGGTTGGGAGGAGAGGCGGCAGAGAGCGTGACGGAGGAAGCCAATTATGGTTGTGGTGGGGGGGGGAGGGGGACGAGATCGGGAGGAGCATGACGGCCAAACATCGACGCAAACGGAACTCGGGCCTCCGTGAACGTGCACTTGCCTGCGCACCCGCACTGGCACGTCTGGCGCTTGCCGAAGCACCCAAACCAAAAACGCTTGCGAGACCTGGGGGGGACGGTGAGCCACATCACACGCGCGGCCCTCGAGTGGTGTTACCCCCTCCGCTTATCTCCCTCTCTCTATATACACACATCTCGATCTATCTCTCTTATGTACAGCTTTCTCTCGCTGTATATATCTGGCTCGCTGTTTATTTCTCTCTCTCTCTCTCTCTCTCTCTCTCTCTCTCTCTCTCTCTCTCTCTCTCTCTCTCTCTCTCTCTCTCTCTCTCTCTCTCTCTCTCTCCATGGCTTGCTCGAGCCCCCTCCCCCCTCGAGGAACGCAAGCGTTCATTGCGGGGCGGGGGGCGGGGCGGGGTGTGAGGAATCACACGGTTCTGTCGCGCCACAGGTACTTTCCCGTGAGCGCAGTGAGGGTCCATAGGTAAATGGAGTCTCGCGTGTGATAAGGCGCGCCACCCCCCCACAGCCCGCGCAATATCAGCTTGTCAGTGGCAGCTCGGTCGAAGCCTATTCTGTCTGACCACTCGTGCGCCGCCTCGCGGAGCGGCTCCTTCACGGAAGGTCGGGGAAAGACTGTGTGGGTTTGAGTGGTGTTGGGCGGAGATGTGCATTGCAGCATCGTTCAGTTCACCGATTTGTCTTCGTGGGCACGGGGGCGTTCCAGGATCGGAGGGGTCGTGGAGCTAGAGAGTGTATTACAGCCTCGTGTATGTCGGCATGTAGATTCCGTATAGTTGTCGTGTGGTGTCGTTGCGAGTGTTTTTTATTGTGTATGCCCCTGTCGCTCATCCATGTGCGTCCAGTCCATCTCTTCTCCTGGTGCGATGGCAACGTCCAACTGTTCTGTCAGCAGTAGGAAGTTGACGACGCGCGTGACCTGTTTGCCAGTGCGCTTGTCCCATAGTGGAACTTTGGCTTGGTAAGGCGGTGGCATCTTGGTCTTCTGGGGGTTCTTTTTGCGGCGTTGTGTTTCACAGCAGTCTGCGCGCCGCGACTGACGGGCGGGCCTGTCATATGACAGACCAGTCTGTCATATGACAGACTGGTCTGTCATATGACAGACTGGTCTGTCATATGACAGGCTGGTCCGTCATATGACATGCCCGCCCGCAGTCGCCAGCGCAGTCTGCTACGAAACAAAACGCTGTTCACTGAAAGAAAACACGGTCCTTGGATAGCTTCCGAGAGTAGTCCTTGTATGCATTCGACTTGGTAGTGGGACGCTTGCCGATGCGCCTCCAGCTTTGCAAAGTGGTGCACGAATTATTGTCATCGATGCTGGCCCTCGCTCCTTCGCCGACTTCGACCGAGCTCACGCGCCCAGTGCTCCACAGGCGGTGGATCCACTTCGATGCATTGCCACTGCTGGCGCTGCTGCTGCGGTCTCTGTCAAACAGCCGTTGCCTAACCCCTCGGCCAGGCATGCTGGGCGGCCGTCGCGCGCGTGCGCTGCCAGCCGAAACGCCATCAGATGACGCGACCGACTGACCCGCGATCCAACACGATTCGGCAGGCGGCATTCGAACGGATCCGATCGAATGCCGCTTGCAACAATTGGTCGACAACCCATCAGGATCGCAGGGCAGTCGGTTGCGTGACATCTAGTCTGCGATGTTCGCTCTCGCACTTGCGATATTGCTTCGATATCGTGCCTGCTCTGCTTAGTTATCCACCCTGGTCCTCCATCCCCCTTCCCCATCTCACCTCCTCGCCTCCCCACCTCGCCTCATCCCCTCGCCTCCTCACCTCGTCATCCTCTCATCGCCTTCTCACCTCGAAATGTCATCCTAACCCGATCATCCCATCCATCCCTGTACATACATTTCACGGCACGCAACGACCGTGCGAATTGCCTGGCATCACCCAAGCCAGGCTCGGCTGTAAAGAGCTCACGCAGAGCAGGATCACCTGCTGACGTCCTCAGGCCGCGACACGCGGCCCCGCCGCCTCGCCTGCGTTGGCTACCTTCTTCATGTCGTTCCAGAGCAGGCGCCGCTCGAAGCTCGACCACGACTCGACCAGCTTACCGAGCTCCGTCTTCACGTGCTCCTCCGCATCCTGGCACATCTTGATCGTCGGCTTCCCCTGCAGCAGGCGGTGAGATTACACTCAACACTACGGTAATGATGCACAGCCCCTGGACGGTTCGTGGGCGACCTCGGGCGACCGCGGCTGGGTCGACGAGGCAAGAACGCAATGGGTGCATCTGGGCGCTGCCGTTTCTGGTTGCAGCGGGGTCGACGCGGGAGGAGTTAGGGGGCTCAACCACCTTAGGCTGCTGGGTCAGCACCGTGCGCTTGAAGACGTTCACCCTGTCGAGGACCTCGTCAGCCCCAGCCCTGAGGTGGTCGGCCGTCCCCTTGGGGAAGTCCCGCTTGAGGAGCGCGTCCACGACCTGCGGCACCTGCACCTCGCACGTCAGGCCGAACCCCGTGGCCTTCTGCTGGGCATCCCGGAACGCCTTCTCCATGGCCTTCTTCGCCTCGTCGGTCTGCAGCTCGAGCGCGCGGGCCTCCTTCTTCTTCTCCTGCTCCTCCTGGGAGAGCTCGGCGATCGAGGCGAGGAACGCCACCTCCGCGTCATGCAACTTCTTGGCCGTCTCGGCCTTCTTGGCCGCATCCTTCTCGGCCTTCTTCCTCCTCTTGGCGTCCTTGTCGGACTCGACGGGCTCGCCGCCCTTGCCGCCAGTCACCTCGGGAGCCGACGCCGCCGCCGAGTCAGCGACGCTCTCAGCCACTGACCTTGCCGTCGACGCATGCGCCGTGTTGCCGTGGGCCATCGAGCCCGCCACGTGCACCGCGTCGAGGGCGGCGTCCCAACCGTCCATGCCCAGCAGCATGTCCTGCGGGGCTCGAAGGGGCGCAGGCCCGTCCTCCCCACTGGGCCTCCTCGTCATCGTCCCTCTCTGCTGCCCTCCGCCCCCAAGCGTTTCGAAGAGAATCCAGCCGCGGCGGCTTCGGCTCTTCCCCCGAAAGCGCGCCACCTATGGCGTCGAGGAGGTATAGGTTGCCCATACCGTTCCAAACCGCAAGGAAAGCTCCTGTCATCCTCCTCCTCCTCCTCCTCTTCCTCGGCCGCGTTGCGCGGTCGCTCCTGAAGCACCCTCACCGCGTCGAGGGGATTCATGGGCGCCTCGGCCTCCACGGCGGCGGGGTGCGACGTCTGGTCGATCAGCTGGCCCTCCGCGTCCGCCACGTAGTGGTACTCGAGCACCCCCTGCGCTCGAAGCGCCATCGAGCGCTTGTGCGGGCGAGAGGGCAACTCCTTCACGATCGCAGCTGCGTGCGCCTGTGGGCAGACCAACGCAACGGACCCATCGCACATCTTCTTCCTCCGCATCGTCATCCTCCTCAGTCCCTTCCGCATCGTCATCTGCAGATTCCTCCTTCTCCTCCTCATCGTGATCATCCTTCCCGCATGTTTCGGCCTTGCTCCTCGTCGCCTCGTCCTGAGCATGATCCTCCTTGCCCCATCCTCTCGTCATTCGCTCTCATATCCTCCTCGTCCTCGCCATCGCATCGGTATCGCTGTCCGAACACGGGCTGGACACTAATGCTGGACACGAATTATGGACACTGAAGTGGGCCTGTGCGTTTCAGGCCAGAGTGGGCGTCATTACCCTTTCAGGCCCGCTTCAGCGTCCGACTTCAGTGTTCAACTTCAGCGTCCAGCCCGTCGCTAGCCTAGAGCTCGGTAGGCTGGGTCCGTATGTGCAGCGCAGAGCGCAGGTAGGTAGCCCGCCCAGCTAATTGGCCAGCTTGCGCTGTCGCACCGCCCCCCTCCCCGTTTCACACGGAGGCACCGCGTCGTTGAGGTACTTGGGGCCAGCCAAGATCGACTCCGTCGCCCAGACGTCGATGATGCCCTCCCTCCTCGTCCTCTTGGTCTTGGTCTCGCACCTGCGTGGTTCCAAGAGGACGCGGGTAGGATTGCAAGCAACGCGTGCACTAAGGACGGGCGGTAAGGACGCACGACCCTCCTGGGCCGACCTGTTTTTTTCTTCGGAGGGCAACATGTGGCCAACGAACTTGGCGAACAGGACAGGCCACAGGCAAGGGCGCGAGGGGTACCTTGGGAAAAGCTGGATGCTGATGTGGGGGGAACCCCATGACGTTGACCTCGAGGATGAGATTGATGGGGATGTGGGTCGGGTGGACGGTTTGGACGCCCACGCACTTGGCTTTGCATCCACCCGTGGACGGGTCGATGACGAAGCGCATCAGCCACTGGACTTTCTCGGCGTCGCTGTGCCCGCACGTCGCAAGATACCTCGCGCGCGTGGCGGGGGCATGGTTCTTCAGGAACGTGTTCGTGGCCGAGAACGGGGCCTTCTTGTCCTGGGGTCTCCGCATAGCTGATCCGAGTTCGGTGCATGTGCTGTTTGTCTCGGGCTGGGTTCGGGATGCTCCCGTGGTCTCGGGGCGTCCTCATGTGATGCGTTCGTCCAGCTTTAGGGTGTGATCACAGCCACTGGGGCCTTCGGCGGAGGAGCTCCCTGTGGGGCCACGAATCGTGCGAGGCGTGGCGGGGCGCATGTGATCACAATTACCATCATGCTCATCCTCTCCTTACCCCGTCCAACCACCGAGCCTCCTCCTCCTCCTCCTCCTCCTCCTCCTCCTCCTCATCATCATCATCATCACCATCATCATCAGCATCATCAGCATCACCATCATCAGCATCACCATCATCAGCATCAGCATCATTATCATCATTTGTCTCCGTTCAGTTTCCATCCAGTCCTGCGCGTTCATGCTTGAAAGCATCGTCTGCAGCTTCACGGGGTCCTGGTCCGCGTCCTTCCACAGCTTCGCGATGCACTTCGGGGGCGGCGCGGTGACCAGCGGCTGATCGGACTCGTCCCCGCTGCCAACCGTCGCGTGGTCGACCTTCTTCGCGTGGCCCTTCGCCTTGGCCTTAACCTTGCCCTTGGAGTCCGTGCCAGCCTTCGGCATGGCGAGGGGCTGCAGCAGGGAGAGGGCGTCACAACGCTGCCAGGACAGCGCCTCGCCTTGAGCCCTAACGGTTTCAGAACCACCCCCAGACATCCCGCGACCCCCTGATTCACGATCAGGTGCCGCAACTTCGGCATCGGACTTGGGGCGCCGAGGCTCGCGCGTTGCGCTGCACGAAGCGCCGAGCGCGCTTATCTTCGCGCTCCCCCGCCGCCCCCCGAGGAGGGCGACCCTCCTGCCCCGACCGAGAAGCGCGACGCGCGATGATCTTCGCGCTCTCCCGCATCCCCCGAGG